GCGTCAGTTGGTGCAGCGGCTGAAGGACAGGTGTGAGGAGCAGGCCGGGCAGCTCCGCCGGCTGCGGGCCGAGCTGGGCAGGGCCGTCTGTGGCTTCGGTGCCCTGGCCGTCTCCACTCAGCACTTCTACTGGAAGGTGAGGCCACGCTTGTGGATGCCATGAGTGGACGGACAGAGGAACAGACAGACGTCGTGGGGCAGCAGGTGGGGATGTGGTGCGGGGGAACCCTAGTGGCACGGTGGTTAGGCACCCGACTGGCCAAGCGCCCAGCCTCTCAGGTAGCAGGGCAGCCCATCGTGCCTCTGCCCCCCATGTTGGAAGGAGCCTTGATGTAACAGTGACACGCTCGGCTGCTAGGTGGCAAGTTGACAGTTCAAACCCACCCACCAGCATCTTGGAAAAAACAAACCCGGCCATTGACGTCTGAGACCTCCGCCAGCAAAAGTAGGTGGAACGCAGTGTCCTGCTCTGACATGCACGTGGGCTCACCGGGACTTGCTTCCAAATGCCTCTGGGTGGATTCGAACCTCTTATCTTTCAGTTAGAGGCCAAGTATGCGAACCAGTGGTCTGGGGACTCCTTAGGTGGCACACATCTAGTTAGCACTTGCCCTCTAGCTGGAAGTTGGGAGCTGTGAGTCCAGCCAGAGGCACATGCAAGAGATGCCTGGCGGCCCACTTCCACGGTGTGGGGCTGATGTACTTTGACTCGCCAGGGTCCCTGAGTCAGGTCCAACCCAGCAGCATTGGGTTTGGTTTCTTTTGCTCCCCAGTTCAGGACCCACCCGAGCCCTACTCCTTCACCTCGCAGATAACCCAAATCCTGAGGTGCTTTTATGAACTACGAGGTTTTATCCTGTTGAGGGGCCCCCTAAGCATATCCTCCTGTCCACTTTCCACCATCTCTGACCACTGCCATCCAGTCGATCCTGGCTCATAGTGCCCCAAGGTAGGGTTTCTGAGACTATAGTTCATTCCGGAAATAGACAGCCTCATCCTTCCCCCACGAAGCGGCTCATGGGTTTGAGCATTTGACCTTGCAGTCAGAAGCTCAACATAGTGCCAACAGGGCTCCTTCAACTACTGGCTACACTGTACGCATTCTGCAAGTGGCATTTCCTGAGCCCTGGTGGCATGGTGGTAACATATGGGACTGCTACCCTCAATGTCAACAGTTTGAAACCACCAGCTGCTCCATGGGAGGAAGATGAGGCTTCCGACTCCTACACCTGTTCCAGGGTCAGACACACACAGGGGTAGTTCTACCCTGTCCTAGGGGGTCACTGTGGGTCGAAATCAACTCAGTGATAGTGCATTTGTTGGGTTGTTTTTGTCTTATCACCTCCTGAGC